TTTGAAAAACAATAGCAAGCATCACCCCATTTTTTTTTAAAGGGGAGATGATCCATGATTGTAGAACATTACTTTCTACTAAATACGTGTAAGGTGTGGAAGACTTGATTTAAGGGCAGATCTCTAAAACCTTGTATAAGCTTTTGCCCTTAATCTTGAGCCTACTTAACTCTCCAATAATCTAGAGACCAGACTAGAGACCATTTAATTAATACTTTCCTCACATTACAGCTTGTTTCAGAAGTAAGGCAGAACCTTAAGACGATCAAACAGTTTGCAAGATTCCAAGGTACCTAAATGCAGCATTGCTAAATTTCTGAAAGCGGTAACTGATTATATTGACATTTTGCTGTTTTTGGCAATGTCAAAGTCCAAAGCAAATCTATGGAGAAATAAAAATTACCATGAGGGCAATTAACTGTGACAAGGTCAGAGTATTTTCCACAAGTTTTGCTTTCCAGCAATACAAAAGCCACAATTTTTCCATAAGACTAGATCTGCATGTGAAAAAGCAAATGAAGATGAGGTAGAGAAATGGCTTTCATAGTAGGAATGTACATAGTTGGGTAATTCAGCTGACAGCTGTAATATGTTTATTTACTCTCCACCAACCAAACACAAGGTCAAGGTACAATAAAAACAGTGACTCCTGACTTAAACCCAAGAAAAACTGAAGCAAAAAACCCATACAATAAAACAGGAGTTGCATCAAAGTTAGCTTTAATATTGGAAACAACAAATGTCGTACAACTGCAACAGCCCTCAGCCCTCAATAATTTCTCAGTATTTTAAGACTGTAGAAGAGAAAAACACGGAGAGAAAGAGTGTGTACGAGGGAGAGCATGATCGGGAAAAGCTTCAGTCCAACAACTTTTCATCATAGAGTGAAGTACAGCAGAGCAGCTACTTCAAACCTTGAGTGATTCTCTTTTTCAAACAACTTTTCACTTTCCTTGTATCCAGGGAAGATATCCAGAAAGACTGGGGCACCCATTAGGTGTTCCCCTGGAATGTTGCAGGAAACAGCTTTGTCAAAGGATAAACATTACGATCTGGAGTTATACTTTGAGCACATCATGAGAAGGCAAGACTCACTAGAGAAGGCAACCATGCTAAGGAAAGTGGAAGGCAGAAGAAGAAAAGGAAGACCAAATGCGAGATGGATTGACTCCATAAAGGAAGTTGCAGCCTT